ATAAGGCTACTTCTTCCCAAGACCAAACATGAATTAATTAATGATGAGCTGGTGGGACGACCAAGAAGTGGGTATTTCAATATTACGGTGTATATGTTTGGTCTTTTAAAGGTGTCAATTGGCAGAAAGATGAGAAAAATTAGTATTTTACCTAAAATGAGGAGAGTAAAGTTTGGTAGACTCTTTTCTTCTTTATTTAGGAATTAGGAGTGAAGAAGAGATTAAACTTATAATCAATTTATAGGTTACTACGAGTTTTCCCATCACGTACTGCTATTCAATTCTATTATTAGTCTTTTGTGATATAGTAAGATTGTAGTGAACTATTTAAGAGTGAGATCAACCAATTCACGAGAAATATATATATATATATATCTATATAATTATTGCATTATAATTAATTAAATATAATTTTAAATTACATAAAATTTATTAAAATATTATATAAAAATCTATATTTGTAAGTGGTGCATTTTACATGAATCTTTGTTGCAGTAAAAAGAATTACAAATGAAATGGTCTTCAATTTATGATTGATTAGTTTATTCACACATAAAATGTTTAAAATTGAATCAATAAAAGTTTATTACATCTAAAGAAATAAGCAGTAGAGACCAAAGTGTAAGGTGACGAAGCATATATTTCTTTAAGATCATTGCTAAAATAAGCTTTAAGGGGTAAAAGGGATGAAGAATCACAAGTTAAAATCTTTATAATAATTGCAACTCGTAAATTGAGGGATTCGAAAAGGTATACGAAAATTCAATCCTCTCCCATTCTTTTTATGTGTTGTTTTTTCCCTGTAAATGCACCTTCACTTCATTTCACTCTACTTTCTCTAACACTCCTCCCTCCAATTACATTAATTGCTAGGCTAAAGGAATTAATATATACACATCATATGCTACATTATTAATTCAATGTTTGGGTGGAGTATTTAGGGTGCAAATTAACCGTGATTAGAAATAGTAGGAGGTCCCAAATGGACTTTGTTATCTATACTTAAATCGCGGAAATGCTTTTTTGCACTCTAAGTTGGCCTGAAAACAACTATCATTTGTTAGAAAATATTGAACCTGAACTTAATTAACCTATTCCCTCAAGTCAATTCTTCCCCATGTATAAGGTACGTTGCCTTTTATCTAGGACAGAAGCTCTCTTATTATATATATATATATATATATATATATATATTATTATAATATATATATAAAATAACCAACTCGAGTAACACGACTAACTTAATCATTAGACAGACGGATCAGAGCTAGGATTCGGCCCCTAATATTAACCAACTTTTCTTCATCACAACAAGACACCTAGTAATCTAATCTCTGCCTTCAGGCATTCAGATGAAGAAGTGAGCTATGTTCATTTTAAGTAGTCAAGAAGCATTCAACAGGATACAGCCTCGAAGATGTTAACGGAATCTTATTGACTTTTGTCACCGAATCATTTTCACTTTGAAAAGAGACTTAATAATGATGAAATTTGTTCCAAACTGATGGATGCTTTTGGTTTGATACATACATCCCTTGAGTTTGCAAGTTCACCGCTACTGATAGTCCTGGATTTATACCCTAATGTGATGGTCCTGAACCAACTAATGGGTGGACGTAATTGAGCTACGTCTAGGTGTGGTGGGGTTGGGGCTGTTTTTTCCCTTTTAATTTTGGTTTTGTTTGGTTTTGCCAAGAGCTGGATTCATTTGAAACACAGATGCCCCACAAGTAAATGAGCAGGGCACCGCATTGGAAAAGCTGAAAGGACTTTGGTTCCATGCAGGGACAGGGCCAGTGTCACTGGGGGACGGAGTGGAGAGAGTTGAGAAAGGTCCCCTGTAACTCTGAATGTTACAATTCATGAGTCTCGAACATAACAAGATACCAACCGGCCTGGCTAGCTAGCATCAAATCTGGCCTCACGATCAGTCGTCGTTATTGGCTTGTGGGTGTGGGTTTGTTTTTTAATCTAATACGTACAAATCTTCAAGCCCTAAAAAGGTATTGTAACAGGCAGACAGACAGACAGTGATAACACGATCGAGCTTGTTACATTTGCTCACTATCTAGATTACCAATGAGACAATTGCTTTATAAAGGTTATCTATCAACTATACCCTTCCAAAGCAATACTTGTGTGAATGACTAGACTAAAATTAATTCGTGTTGTCGGGTGCAACCCTGACCAAACCGGCCTAATCGCTGCGTCATTTCAATGTTTCAGGCCCCTCTTGATCCCTCCTGTGTGCTTGATTTGTATGGTATTACGTAAATATCAAACTTCAATAGCAGTTTGCTGCAAATGGTGTTTTTTGTATTATTAATGCAATAATTTTGTAGTTAACAATAAATCACGAAAACTGTAAATTTTGTGACTTTCATTACATGATGCATGCTGTCTCTTTCTGGTAGGATGAACTCCTTTGAAATTTTCGAGCATGAAATTGAACACAGAAAAGTTAAATACAGTGCAGTTTTCTGCTCTGATTTTCTGTATGAATGACAATTCTTTATTATTGCTTTTAATTTTTCATAAAATCTTCAGGTTCTGTGATTTCCCAAGCAGATCCCTGAAAATACAAACGGAACAGTGATGTTGTACTGGGGGGATCCCACATGGCCGTCACCTTCTCCCAACCACCATCAATTATAAGATTCTCACTTCTAATCCCTGAAATGTGACTGGCAACGGCCTAACAGTACACATCTAGCTCCTATATTTAGTCCAACCTTCTTTTGTATGAAAGTCTTTTTAATCGCTTTCTGTTTATTTATTTACAATCAGATTTTCAAACAAGAATTTAATGGGGAGCCAAATTTTCTTATGCAAATTATAATCTGATGCACCACGTCATCTGAACTCAAAAGTATTGCAATTTAGATGTGAAGGCTACGAGTTGCAAATTTCAACCCCTTTGGGTCCAATCTGTAAAGGCGTTTCCAATTGAGAGAGTGGGGGTACAAGGGTCCCATCCCATGGGCCCTCCAGATGGTCCTACTAAAGGAAGGGCTGTCGGTTGGCCACCCCGTTGGGTAGCATAGAGAAAGGACCATTACAGCATCGTGGATCACCCTTTTTAGTCACGCAGGGTTGACATCAATTTATGCCCACAAAGACTTTACCTGTATCCAACGCCACTCAATTTTCACTAGTTATCCATAGCTTACCCACAAAAAATCAAGCCATGGATCGAGCCGAGACAAAGCCCGGGTCACGGTCTTTGGTGGACGGCGATCGAGCCTTAACCCGGGACTGGATCTTAATCCCCCCTTGTGATCATGCCCCAATTGGGCACAACATTTAGGGAGGCAACACTTGGACATAACCTCTCTTTTGACAAAACCAAGTTGTTGAATCTTCGCATTTTTAACCTATTTATTGATTGGATTGGATTGGATTGCCTGAAAATACATACAAACCTCATTAGATACACAAGAATATTCCTGAAACAACCGTACCAAGATCTTGTGGAAGGGTCAGAGACCTTTTCTCGCTTTCTTTATAGACTTTTATGTTCAATATGGAGTAACGCTACAGCATCACTGAAGAGTTTTCATCTTTTCTTTTTCATTTGGTGCATATATTGTTGCAGCAGAGAAGAAAGTCCCTTGAAACATCTTGAGCGAAACCAGGTGATCATCAAAAGCATTTCCTTTTTGTTTATTTTTGCTTATTTGGTTGGAAAAGTAACCCTCAAGCTTGTGGAATGAGTGCTCAAAGCTTTGACAGCCTCTGGATTTTCCTTGCAACTTCTAGCTGTTTTGCTTTCTCTCTTCTTGTCTTCAAATGAATGCAATTTAGTAAGAGAAATAATAATGCATAAGCTGGAAAAAGCACTTAATTTTAATGCTTGTTGACATAAAATGGCACCCATTCGAGCTGTGAATAGTCCAGCTGGAGCTTAAAAATGGAATGATGTGGGGTTAACTGTCCAGTAGACATTAGTTTTTTATGGAACTATGGATGGCTCATCATTCTTACTTTCTTAGGTTCCTCCTTCAATGGACTCGAGCCCACATTCCTGTCAATCTCAGCCATAAAAGAGAAATACTACTTAAAAAAAAAAAAGGACTGCAAGGCAATAAAAAGTCATCTCCTGTAAGAATCCAATGCAAAAACAAGTTTGAAGCTGACTTTCAGCTGCCAAGTGAACAACATTTCATTAACGAATACTTTACGACGGAGAAACACTTTCCCTTACCTCATCCTAACATCACTCCCATCTTAAACTACAGTTTCTTTCATTCACACTGATAATCTGCTGAATTTCATGATCATTGGACCATTAGCCTTAGATTCTAGGAAAGGGGTGTTGGTGACATTCTAGTGAAATCACAAGGGCAGTTTCAGGCTTTTATAGCTGCAGCCCCAATTATAAAATATGATCTGCAAAGAGCGAAGCCATAGGTGAGGATGGTTAAAGGCAACTATGATCGCGATACACATATCCTATTCCTTCTTTTAGGCTCCCCCTTTGCCTTCTTTTTCTGTATTCTTTTGTTCTTTTATATTGTAAAGCAGACAACATATATTACAGAAACTTTTGTAATTTTTTCTACATTTTTATTCTGAGATTCCCTTTTAACAATAAAAAATACTAAACGAGAATTGAGAGGCGTACGATGTTGCGTATAAACTAGTGTTTGACTAAAATAATCCTGGGGAGTACAGGTGAAAAACCAAAAAAAACAAAGAAATTGGTGTGGCAATGATGAGAAAGAGGGGCACAAGTGGGCACAGGCTAAGCACGTGGGTGCTGCCTTGCTCATTGCACGCTGGCATGGCATGGTCATAAGACTCATGGCAAAATGCCCTTCAAGCCTTGAACAATATATTCTTATCGATGTCAGAAAAGGGCTAAAAATATATATAATCAGGCACATAAACTTAGGTTTTTCACGTATATTCAGGTTGAATTTTCCGATGAATTTTTGGCAGTTGCTGTCTTTGTAGAGAGTATCAAAAGCGTTAGATTTTTTCAGGTTGTTGTCTCAAAAACATTCTTTATTTGCGTGTGTAGAGACTAGAGAGTCTTTCTAATTAGAGTAACGTAGTGAACTTAACATTTATGTTTGCTATTTAGAGAGAGGTGTGGTCTCTTTTACTATGCTTTTGGGTTCATTGACTTGGTGAGAGTTGTAGAACACTTGATATTGATAGGATTGCAATGGCTTTGATTCTTTGTTTTGCATGTCCAAATCAGATGGGGTATGGAATTTGACTGACAGGACTTGGCTTTGGAGCATTTGATCTTCTGAGTTTTTGTCTCTTGACTCTTTTGTGCTTATATAAAAAAATTTCTATATATAAAACTCAGAGAGAGTATTACACCCACAACAAAATCTCTTGGAACTCCTTTCTTCTTGGATATCCTCTCTAGTATCTCCTCCAGTAAAATTATATTTTGTTTGACAGTTTATTTGTTTTATTTGATATATAGGAAGCTTTTTATTTTTTTTTAACTTTCTGGAGTCTGAGGTCTTTTGTTAATTTTTTTTCTAAGGTTTCTAGTTGGGGGTTGCTTAGTTGGGAAAATTTTCGTACAGGAAATGGGTGGTCTAGTCTGTTCTGTTGTTCGGAGAACATCTTTTGGTTGCTGTTGGAGAAGGGACTTTTTATGACTTTTGGTGCTTCAAAAGGGAGGCTTCTATAATCAGGCATGAAAAGAGGTTTATTAGTTTCTATCATGTTAATTAGCATCTGGTGAATACACAAAGCCAAGTGAAGAAAAAACCAACACAAAATTTAGTCATGAAGTTTATGAAACTCGGATCCCGGCCTGACACCTTCTACACTGCTGAGGCCGTAAGGTATGGTTCTTGTGACCGATTATAGACAGAGTTTAGTTTTTATTAGATATCTTTCTTGAGAAAGATACCATGAATTTCTTGTCTTGATGCAGGTCTGTCTCTTCTGAAGTCTCTAGTGACCTTATAATTCAAGTGAAAGGAAGCAGATATCTGCTTCACAAGGTAAAGAGTTTGTAAGATTGTTGAAAATTTAGCATCAGGAAGACTAATTCCTGTGTTTGTTGCTGTCCAATTGAAATATTTTGTCAATCTTGTTTCGGAAATTCTTTGTACATGCAGTTTCCTCTGTTGTCAAAGTGTTTGCGGCTGCAGAGGCTATGCTCTGAATCCCCAGAAACATCACAACACCAAATAATCCAACTACCTGATTTCCCTGGTGGAATTGAGGCGTTTGAGCTTTGTGCAAAGTTCTGTTATGGTATTACGATCACTCTCAGCGCGTATAACATTGTTTCTGCAAGATGTGCAGCTGAATATCTGCAGATGACAGAAGACGTTGAGAAGGGCAACTTAGCTTACAAACTCGAAGTTTTTTTCAATTCCTGCATCCTACACGGCTGGAAAGACTCTATTGTCACTCTGCAGAGCACCAAAGCCTTTCCTTTATGGTCAGAAGACCTTGGAATTACAAGCAGATGCATTGAAGCAATTGCGTCAAAAGTTTTGACACACCCCTCCAAGGTGAGCTTGTCACATAGTCATTCGAGAAGGGTTAGGGATGATATATCTTGTAATGGAGCAGAGAGCCAGCGGCACAGACCAACAACCAAGGGTTGGTGGGCTGAAGACATGGCTGAGTTGGGTATAGACCTCTACTGGAGAACTATGATAGCAATAAAATCTGGTGGGAAAATACCCTCTAATCTCATTGGCGAAGCATTGCAAATTTATGCATCTCGATCGCTACCTAACATATCCAGACAAATAAAAGCTAAAAAAGAAGCAGCATCTGACTCCGATTCAGACTCAGCTGGTGAGGTTACTTCAAAGCACCGGCTGCTGTTGGAATCAATAGTAAGTTTACTCCCGTCTGAAAAAGGCGCTGTTTCTTGCAGTTTTCTACTTAAACTCTTGAAAGCAGCCAACATTCTTAATGCTTCATCTTCTTCAAAGATGGAATTGGCTAGAAGAGTAGCACTTCAGTTAGAGGAGGCAAGAGTCAGTGATCTGTTAATACCCTCTGTGTCATACTCAAGTGATAGTCTCTATGATGTAGACATAGTCATGATAATTTTGGAGCAATTCATGTTACAAGGGCAGAGTCCTCCAACTAGCCCTCAAAGATCCAAGCTGGGGTTTGAAGGGAGAAGAAGGTCCCGTTCGGCCGAGAATATTGATTTTGAGTTTCAGGAAAATAGGAGGTCATCTTCAGCATCACATAGCTCCAAACTAAAAGTAGCCAAAATTGTAGATGGATATCTTAAAGAGATTGCCAGAGACAAAACTTTACCTCTGTCAAAATTCATTGCAATAGCTGAGACAATTCCAGATTTCTCACGGCATGACCATGATGATCTCTACCGAGCGATTGACATTTATCTTAAGGTAAATAAAAACTGGCTTCCTGGCCTTGTTAGTTTACCATATTTCACTCTTCCGTTGAACTTTTTGCAATATTTCAGCATTACATCTTAGGATGTGGGGTCACTATTTGCAGTGGATAACCGACTCTCTTGACTTAATAGTCTTTTCATGTTATTGATTTATTGGCAGTTAGGAAGATTAGGCTGACCTAACAAATTTAGCAGAAATGATTTTACATTCTGCTGACTAAGTGTTCATGCGGGCTGTAATTCAAATGTTCACTTTGTTGACATTTACAGAGTTGTCTTAGGTCAAGTCATGAATAGCCTTTTCCTTGATTTTCAAGATGGAGGGAATTCCATGGTGTGTAATTGCATCCATCTCATAAATAATTAGCAATTCTGTCTACACCCCAGCATGCAGAAAAATAGTGGCATAAAAATGACACGGTTATCAGTGCTAATATGAAGGTGCCGATTACTCTAGTTGTTATTTTTTAATATCCAGGCACATCCGGACCTAAACAAGAGCGAAAGAAAAAAGTTGTGCCGCGTTCTAGACTGCAAAAAACTCTCTGTTGAGGCCTGCATGCACGCTGCGCAAAATGAAAAACTTCCTCTTAGAGTAGTGGTACAAGTTCTCTTCTTTGAGCAAGCTCGAGCTGCCACGGCAGGGGGCAAAGTGACTGAATTGCCTAGCAACATTAAGGCACTTCTAGCCTCTCATAACATTGATCCATCAAGGCCTCCCGGGCCTTTAAGCACTACTACTAGCATTCAAGCAGATGACCAATGGAGCGTCTCAGGCCTTAAATCTCCAAAGTCCAGAATTTCAACATTAAGGATGAAGCTTGCTGAAGATGATGATTTGGACGAAAATGATATGCACACTGACGGAATGGGAAGACCGTCCAAGTTCAAGGCTTTCTGTGCTCTTCCTGCGAGACCCAAAAAAATGTTCAGTAAGTTGTTGTCCATCAATAGAAGTGGCAGTGAAAAGAATTGAGTGAATTTTGTTTATTTCCAAGTTGGGGATGGTAATTTTAAAGGTAACGTATACTCTCTTCTTTTTTCTTTTTCTTTTTTTTTTTGTCCTTGAGCAAATGCCTTGTAATTTTAGCTGAGAATCAAAGAATCTCAATGTGCATTGTTGATGTAACCTAATATAATAAGAATCAAGATTTTCACGAGACAGGAAATTCTCTTTTGTGAATCTCATTTTTGAAACTGGACTATGACTCCTAGTTGTGAATTACTAATCGTGGGGCCAATATGGCTGCGTCTGTCCATGATTCTGCAACACCTGTCTTTGTCACTCAGTTGCAACTCCCTGAATCCTCTCACCTGTTAAATGAAGATTAAGTATTGGCATTTCTTCTATCTGACAGGATGCAATTGCTGTTTTATTGGAATTCCTTTGTCTTACTTCTTTGTTTTCAGCTAAAATGGGCATATCTTTATTCCAGAATTATACAGAAATGTTTGTTGCCATCTCAAAAGATTCAGATTTTATGCTTTGTGCACAACCAACGTACCACCGGCTAAGATGACTAAACGATAGAATTAATGAAATAATGCAAATTTTTCTAAAAGAGAAATAGGAAGACAAATTATAAGAAACAAAACAAAATATGCAAGGCCTGGTAGTCTTCACATGGATGAGATGCTTTGTGTCATGAGCCAACTTTGTATCGGATTATTATAACGTAGAATTGTCTAAGAGATGGAGCCTTTTATACCTATAAGGGAAATGTCGTTCTTTTAAACAATATAATGGCTCGTGATGACACTTTTATAAAAACTTATTAAATTTTTAGAGAGGAAAACCTTTAGAAAAATAATGTTCTAATTTCAAGCGTTGTAATGGTTATTAGTAAAATTTTTGTAAAATTTTGTAAACTCTTTATAAGGGTAGAACAGTCAATGGATTGTTTGACTGCTTTATTAGTAAAGGTATATTTATAGCGAATTATCTAATGTTGCCCTTATGACCCGACGATGGTGTGTCTCGATTCTTTTGTAATTAATTTCATCTTAATAAAATATATTTTCTTTTCATAACTCAGTAGTTGCATATATGGCATTCGATATACCTTTTAATTTTGATACGAGTTCTTTTAATTTGATTTGTTATTATTATTAACATTGGATCAGATATAATCGAAAATTGACTGACTTGTATGGAAATGTCCACTCAAGTGCTGCATAGACTATCTCATACTTAAACAAAAGAGCGTAGATCGTGACACTTTGCTTTTCACATTACCACACTTTCAATTCAATAATTTTGGTTTGTTAAAATCTTAATTGAAAACCTAGAAAACTTGACCAGAAGTTTTCCCAACCAAACAAAGATACAAGCAAAGAAGTAAGAATATCCACTAAAACATATTTGAAATTATAAATTTAGGATATGCTTGGTAATCGAAAAATAATTTAGATGAGAAAAATATTTTTTGTGTAAAATATTTTATAAAAAAAATTAATATTTTCTGTTATTTAACTAAACTATCGAAAACATTTTTTATTGTTTGGATCATCCAGTAAAAAATATTTTTCACCATATTTGGGTGTTAAAATGATAAATCGAGTTGATTACAAAACAATTATAGTATTTGATTTTCATATTAAAATTTAAAATGGAAAAGAAAATGAAAAAGAATAAATAATGATATGTTACAAAGTTTTTAACCACATATCGTAATGGAAGTAAGTTTTAATTTTTAAAAAAATTTCCATTCCATCATTTTTTTATACTATAATATTATAAAAATAAATATTTATCAATCGTATAAAATATTCAAAACTTATATTTCTAAATGTGTATTTATTAAACGACAATCATCAAAATTTTTTTGTTACAATTATTAGAAAGATTTATTCAATCAATAAATAAAAATGTTAATTCTATTGAATGATTTTATTAAAAGTATTTTTTAATTTTAAAAATATTAAATTAAATATTAATACTCATCAAATTTATATGGTTAGCATTAATATAAGAGCATTTTTTCTGTTTTTTGGAAAATATTTTATATCTCTCAAGAATGTAAAACATTTTAAGTGATCAGTGAGTGTTTTTACTATTGACTTGTAAAATGTTTTATACCTGATATAATTTTTTTTATCTTTCCAACAAACATAAATTTTGAAAATATTTTTTAAAAAATATTTTAAGTCAAAACGAGCAAATCCTTGCCCAAAATGAATAACAAATGAAAAGCAACCTAATAGCATCACCGAGGTTAGACCCTTTTGAATTAACGTCCAGGAAAGAATTTACTCTCCAGCTCATTTTGTTAATAAACTGGCTTGATGATTATTACTAAAGGATTTGATTATGCTTTTGTTAAAAGGAAAAGGAAAATGTTTGTACTCTTTGTTCCGTAAGGAATGAAGAAAGAAGCAGCAAATCTCTGAAACATGATTCGCTTGCCTGAATTATTGAGATTAGTTGCATGCTGATTCAGATGTCCCTCTCTTGCCCTAGAATAGGCTAAGTGTTTTCAACCTAGGTCAATTATAGAGCATTACTACTTCATAGTCACGTGGTTGTAGTTGATCGAGCCATCATTTGTATTCATCATCTTCATCATGGTTTTCCTCAATAATGTCCTTCCATTTTCAATCACCTTTCGTGTTCGTTCCCCTCTCGCATTGGGGCTGCAAGGACTGTTTGTGATATCTTAGCTTCCTAGCTCCAATTTTTCAATGAAAATCCTTTTCAGCTGTCAGAGAGCATTGCTAGCCAAAACAAATCACGGATACCTCTCTGCCTCTCCAACTTTATTTTCCAACCTAGTACTACTATCTGTCTTCTCCTGAATTTAGCCATAACCCACTTTTTAATTTTCTTTAAATTTCCAATAAATCTAGAAAATCTTGTGAGGGAAATATCTGAGAATCGAACTAGGCTTAAATCTTGAGTTGAAGCAACAGTGAATACATGCCATGCATGGTGCTCTATTCTAGCTTTGCCTTTTTATATTTTTAAATTTCCCCTTATATTGTTCAGAGTCTACCCTTTTCAGTAATCACTTCTCAATTAAAAAAATACTAAATAATTAATTAACCCGGTTCATCAACTGCTAAATCTGTGAAATTTCTGTTCTGGAACCTGGGAATAATCTTCTTTGGTGACAACGTGGGGGCTTCAAGGTCTTGCTACTTAACTGCATGTCAGGTGGGGGATTTTAAGATAGGTACATCTTCTGGATGGCAATTAAATCAGGTTGAGCAACTTTTTTCTTAATCCAAAATCAAAGCGTCCTGTACCGACGTATGAGTGCCCATTTGTCCTGTTTGGTGGCAGTTCAGATATTGCTCACCCCTAATAAATTTTAGAGCCATCTACAAGCAGACACTGTTAGGATCAAGTGTCATGGGCTCCATTCCTTTTTTTGGTTTCTTTTCTCTCTTCACTTCCCCACCAAATCATGCGAAATCTCAGCTGATACTGTTGGACGGTTCCACAAAAACTGTACCAGATAAGTCTTTGAACAAGCTTAGGAAAAAGCTTGGTCATATTTGGCAGATTTAATACAACCTTGTGTTGTGCCTAAGGAGATTAATATTTCAAGAGAATTCAGAGGAGATGCATGGTTTGCTTTGCTTGTACTGTTTCTCAGGCGCGTACTGTCAGTATCAGATATGGTCTTGGACAAGGAGAATGCTTTTTAGTCCCATTGCCCAGGCCGGCGTAATGCATAACCTTTGTCATTGTATCTAATTAGATGAGTGGTATTTCAACCTAAAAATCCCATGTATCAACATAGGCATATCCGCCATTTCCAGTCAAGAACTAACGAGACCCACCAAATTAATGATTCCGTTCATTGATGAAACCTAGAATCAAGTTTATAAATGTCTCAAGCATGCATGAACTTATGATGAGAAGGAGATGAAATAAAACTCCAGCAAGAAAACAAAGAAAATGGTTAATGCAGAGCAGAACAATGATTTTAAAACCAAGTCTTGGTGGCAGCAACAAGTCAATAACACACGATACACTAATATACTATATATATATATATATACAACGAGAATTATTGAGCCCCCATACGTCTGCAATACTAGATCATTCAGCGGTGGCAGAATTAGCCTTAGATGTAGAATCCCGAAGGGATGCGGATTGAGAATCAATGCTTTTGGTCCGCTGGAGACTTGGGATGCGATGAAGCCTGCAACGGAATGAACCAGCATGCGTGGTTGGAGAGCAAAGGCAATTGGTCTTTGTAACACTTGGCTGTCTGCTAAGTCCAGAAGCAACTTGCCCTGATATCGCTGCTGCGGCATGAGACTCTACACCACCAGCTATCATTTCAGCCTCTGATGGAATCTCCACCTTCAGATCCTTCTTTGGCATCTGCCCACTCTCCATTCTGGCCTCTCTTTCTCCTGGCAAGTTTCAACGCTTAGCATAGTTCAACATGAAAGTTAGAAAGCCACATGAAATACTACACCTATTTTTGTGTAGCTAGCTAGGCGTGATAGTTAGAGGGAAAGCAGTTGAGCGAAGATTGAAAATAGACTTGGTACCTCTAACAAGGGTCTTGAATGACCTGGAAATGAACAGATGATTCAGCTGTTTAGAGTCTCCGCTAGCTTTGAAATGGAGAGGGTAAAGATATGGATAAGGAGATACAATTGGCTATGGTTAAAAATAAGAAAAAGATGATGGGGCTTGTACTATCTTTCTAAATCTGTCTCTGATCGTTTCCTGTCACGGGATTTCTAATCAAAACCATTAACCTCCCACCTAATTTTATCACTTCTTTTTCCTAATGCTTCAACCACTCCAAAAAATAAAAAGAAAAAGGAAAATTCTAACTCATCATCAAATGGGATCCCCCTTGGTCTTTCCTTTTATCTCCTCCTCCTCCCCTATTCAGCATGCATCTGAATCATGAGATCAGATGATGATGCTCCCCCCCTCTCCCAAAAATCTTCTGAGAGCAGGGGGTCCCTCAGTTATCATGGCAGACATTCTCGTGGGTGTCAATTTTAGCTTATCACTTTGCATTGAAAGTATACACTAATTTCTTAGTATATATCGTATTATATCCCTTTAAGAGGTTGCATTTGCCTTTTGCTTAGGATCTGCTCTGGCTTAAAATGCTTTTCAAACGAAAATGTGGGCCGCCTTGGACATGACATCCCACCTTCCTAACATTGATTATGGAAAGCAATATTTCCACAAAACATAACACTTTCTTTTGCCACATTTAATTCTATAATTAACAAATGCTAGTTACGACGATAATGACTTTAAAAATGAATATATTGTAAACTTCTTACAGAGTAAATAAAATATGATGGAACTTTCATCATATCCATCACCATTCTATCATTGTCGGGCTAGTATAAGAAGATACTTACTATATATATATATATATATAATAACTAGACAAGGATATCCATCATCATCATCATCAGAGTTTTTTTTTTCCTTTTACTATCGTTGTGACCCAACATCATATTAAGATATTAAACGTCGTTAACTTATTAGAAAAGCATCCAAAATAATTTGGTGATGACATTATGTAGGGGACGATGAGAGGGTGCTGATGCTGCCAGCCATCAGGTATAATAGTTTAGTGGGCACAAAATTACAGGCCCATTTCTTCACAGAGGCCCAAGAAATGATAATTCGACATAATGGCATGCAAGACGCTTATGAGAATTACTTTATGTCCCTATAATTATTTTTATTTTTTAAGTGTGCATATCAACGTCTTTCCTTACGCCCATATTCAAATCCAGAGTTCTAATCTTTCATTAAAAAGGGGTACACACGTAGACTAAGTTGGCTTTTAACACAAGTGACATAGAACATAGGATTTAGATTAATATTTTAATTTTCCTATCTTTTCATAAATTTTTATTTAAAAAAAAAGTTGTCGATTCATAAAGCTTAACTCAAGTGATATAGATAAAATAGAGTTGGTTTAACATTTTAACCTCCAAGTCAAAGTACACGTTGAATATGTTAAGTTTAATTGATATGACAATCTAAATAAATATTATAATTTTTATGTTGTACTATTGATTTTAACTCAAGAAATCACATGAATAAAATGGATTTTGATTAACATTTTAGCTTGGAGTCGGAAATTTGTTATTTGGTATGTTGTTCAACTTATCTCTTAACTAAATGCTAAAACTATATTCAAGTTAGTTATTTACGCATTTGATTAATTATTTTTTTGGATTATGAAAGAGATAGAATAACTAAATTGTGGTTAGGATATGGAGAAGTGCGTAAAGTTCAATCTTGGAGTTGAATTGTGGTGGTGACTTAATATTAGTAATGTTAAGGAGGGTAGTAAATGAGAACGCAACGGTGCCTGCAAAGCACAGCATTGTGAGCTAAGGTTCATCTGTTTATGGGCCCAAATGAGAAGCAAGCGGAAGAGCCCAATTTGCATTATAGCCAGTTGGTTGGTGTCATGGTCCGTAACAAAGGCGTTTGCAGAGCCGGGGTTCGGCCCAGTGTTTGTCAGGAAACTATGAAGATGGCCAGAGGGCTAATTGTTATTATTATTTCATCTTAACTTGATCACAAGTGGTATGTCATAGATATTATTCATACAGAACTTCATATAATATAATATATAAATTGAGAAACTGGAATTTAAATCATTCTTTATAAACCTACAAATTAGGAGCCTAAATATCATTAAATGTGTATATATATGTTGACATGGTAACTAATTTTAATAACGTGTAGCATTTAGATATATGTTAAAGTTAGCTAACGGTAATTCCATTGCTAATGGTTAAATTATTAATTTATTCCACTTGCATGTCAATAATGAAAAGTAAGATTTCAAATTCCACAAAACAAATATGAAATATATAATAAATTTTTTTTGCATATATAAATGCTAATTAACAATGGATGGCAGCCTGCGTGGCTAATGATGTTTAAGTTTTTTTAATGTCTGGTCAGCCGACAAGGCAAGGGTTGGGTTTTAAGAAGATGTTAGTTCTTTAGGGATGGGATGGGATTACGACTTAATCCCCCTTCGAGAGAATGTTTCCAAGCTTAAAGAACCAGCTTTGGAGGAAAAGTACATGAAAAGGACCCAACAGGATTGGTATTAAAAGCCTTTAAAACTTTGCTCTCTACATCCTTTTTCTGTTTCCTTCTTCTCGAGTCTGTTTAGGTACGGACTAGGGAGGCTTAATTACTCTTGTCATTTGAATTTCAGAATTTAGGATAAAAGTATGGTTTCGTACGTTATTATTTAAAGGAATTTAATCGTAAATTTTGGGATGAAAGAAAAATATCATCTTAATCTTTACTGCGATTAAAAAGGTGTCGGTAAACGATGTCTTTGTCGCAGTGTAAACGCAACAGCAAAGCGTACTGACAGTACTTTGGATGTGACAAGTTTGGTTGTCCTGTCTGCAGCGCCATTTTAATTAAGTGACCCAAACCGATCCACCGTTGGAACTGGATCATGGATTCCTAGACTAACTTTTCCGATTTCTCTCGGAATTTACACTCATTAGACAAGGTTTTTCACTTCTTTTTTATCATTGGTAGCACTCGTCCAACTAGTGCCCGGATATGGCCCTTGCCTAACCCTAGATGTTCTCATTTGTCTGGACAAGCGTTGGTCTCAGCCACCACTCTATCCTGTAATCATAATGGCAAAAGCATTACCATTAACATTACCATTCTACTATTTAGCATCTCCTTTTGTTTTACCAAAATCACAAGGCAATGGAAGTTCAGCATGCTAGCTCCCTTAATTACTTGACCATGAATTTTATTATTAAACTTCATATTTTGACGGTAACTATATATATATATATATATCTCAAATGCACCCTATGATTATGAGTAGCATTACAGTGATTACACAAGATTAAGAAATTAAAAATTTTCAATTTTGGAAGAAAGATTTCATGATTTGATAGATTTCACAACCACATAACCCCTCTCATTATCTTTTGGGACTCGCAGCTGCCCCGTTTTGAACGTTGGCTGGTGACATGTGTCCGTTGCCCACGCCCTCCATCTACTGCTAAACAATGGTCCAGGCCCTCTTTCATCCCAACTATAAACCACTGAAAAAGAGTACTCCGTATTAAATCCTTATTTAAGGAGCAAACCTTTGTAGTTAAGCATAAAATAATGACGAAGCCGAGTGTCAAAGCCTCTCACGTAAATTTAAGTTGATATCTAGAATGTGAGCAGCTATTCACTGCAACTTTGCTGCTTGCAAAGGAACTTTTTTTTCTTTTGTAAGATCGTGAGGAAGGAAGGAGAAGATTTTGGGAAATTTTACTTTTTCGACTTGCTACAAAACGGGCTACAACGATGGCATTTACACTACTCACACAAGCTTATTTAATTAATTATAAATCATGATTAACAAACTAACTAAAACCAACAAAAATCCTCTACCCTCTCTGTGGGTCTCTTTCCCTACCCCATGTATACATTTTTTCTCTTAATACTTGTACTTAGTGTAAATAATAATTTATTTAATGTTATGTTATCCTCATATCTAAACAAAAAGTAAAATTAAACATTAACAATTCGTAACTATGAGTTGGAAAACACAGTGGAACACACTTTAAATCCACCTAATCGTCAAACACCCCAATAAATCCATCCCCAGTGAAACATGCCAGCTTTGCAAATGCATACGCAAAGTATTTCTTCTCCCTGTATATTTGCAAGTGTCAACAAAAAAGAAAGGGTGATGCGATCGTCCCTGTGCACAAAAAATTTGTCATTGCAATTCAACTTTCTTAACAAAGACTGCCTTATTCCACACCGTCAGTAGACCCCCTGATCACTCCGTTGATGGCATAAATCCCCCATCAAAATCCATGTCAATTCCGCTTTCAGCTATTATCTCCATATTTGTTTCTTAAACAAACTCATCCCTGTCTCTGTGCTGTTAATCACCCTTCTCCACCTTCTGGTTTTGACATGGGCATTCAAACCCCTAACATTTCAGTCAAGGGATCTTCATACGGAGAACCTCTACTTTCCTTGCGGTCCCTCATCCCCTCTCTCTAATTTCGTTTATCATTTCCTTTCCTTTTTTTCTTCTTCTTTTCTCTCGTTTCTCTTTGGTATGAAACATCAGAAAATTGAAGGATTCAATTGGTGTGAGGCCTAAATTTCATTCATCGAAAATTCTCAATTCTAGATCACAACATAAGTGCAATGTCGTTTACTGAAAACTCCCAATTCCCAATTCCATGAAACAAAATAACTGACTAAAAGAGGGAAGAATGAACAGAAAAATAGTGGGATGAAGAGAATTAAATTTTATTTTATTTTTCATTGACAGTGTTAAGTTTTACTCTTTCTTTGGATACGAGAATAAGATATTTTACACTACAAGCATCAAATGGACACATAAAAATTTATATATGGGGCAGGGAAGAAGGCACAAAGATGGGGCAGATCATTTTTGTTCAAGTAAAACAAAAAACTTAACAATTAACCACTCTACAGCATGTGCTGTTTATTAAACCATTTCTCTTTACATGCTTCACATGTGCATAGTTAGGTTCATGAAGCTTGATGTAACTTCATTATTCTTGATATTCTCCCTCAAGATGAGCATGATTATTGTTAATGCTCATCTTTCCTAACAATCCCTTACACTATGTTATGAAAATTGCCTAAAAAACAATAAAGATAAAATTTTAAAAAATCAAACAGATAGAAAAATATAAAAATTTACATGATTTGACTTTTTGCCTATGTTCACAGGGTGAAATTATTCTTTTATTATTAAAAAATTAAAATATTATAAATTAACTTCTATGATTCCTCAAATCAACCCAAGATCCCTTGCATACCTTTTTTCAATAACTTCTCCTTTTTTCAATAACCTCTTAAGAATACTTACCTATTCCACTGTAGCTCTGCACAAAGCAAAAGACAGAGTTACAAGGTATTCACTCTCTAAAGCTCTCAAAGCACAACTTATAATTCTGAAGCCTAGATCCATTTTTATAATATAAAAGTTCAAAGTAGAATCAGATTAA